CGTTGACTGAATTTGTGTCGACTTAGTATCTCAATGGTGCTCATAGGATAGTGTGTGCATGTGTGCGATTAAAAAGATGGGTATATGTGCGTGTATGTTAGTATTGTACTGTGTAAAAAAAGGCATGATGGAGTGGCATAGGTGGAGGGTTCTCATCTTGATTCACTCCGAGTGTGCATTGCGACTCTTGGATTAACTGTCAGTATACTCCACTCTATAAGCGCCAAGCCACACCTTGCTTCGCTTTCCCATGACGTACCTCAGAAAATCCCGAGCTCTTCTACTTAATGTGTGGAAATCCAAAAATTATGTTCCTCTTAATGCCCCATTCCCATCGACAAACAGAGGGACCTTTGGGTCGTCTATCTAAGCGACGGCCTAAGGTGCTCGGGAAATGACTTTCTCCAAGGATAGCATAAAAATAATCTCGAGATCCGTATTCCAGTGTGTTCTCCCTCCATAGTCGGGGAGAGTGATTTATCTGCCGTCTAATCCAAGAATATGAGCCTATCCGAACAACTACACAAGCCATGGAGGAAATGCCCGTTCTGTGACTAGGAAAGATCTCAAACTTGATATTCATAACCATCAGGATAAAAAGAATCCATGTACAGTCGCATTGCACAATATTATCAAAAATTCAGGTATGTTGATTACCGAGATTTTTTTTTTGATAAAAGAAGGGCTTCCCCCTTCCGATTTTCATTAATGAAAACCAAAGCATCCAAACGAAACAGGCTACGATAGGAAGCAAACGCGACAATCTACCATGTTCCTCTCTCTCAACTCCACCCAAACCTCAACAGGAAGGCCTGTCAGAGCTAAGTGACGAGAAACACATCTACATCGATCATGACGTCTCCTTACACATCCACTGTATCCAAGTCCGGACATCAACATTTATCTTATAGACTCCAAAAGACAAACTACTAGAGAAAAATAGCAACAATGAAGAACTTGCAGCTACAACAGGTAGAAGGTTTTCTCTGCTCATCCTTCCAGTCGCGCCACGTTGATCCTCCACCCATGCGACGTTACATATACTTCACTTGCTACTCGTTCTAGCAGTTTTGCTCCCAGATCCAGTGCCCCTTTTTGTTGCTCCTTTGTCTGCAAAATAGACCAGTCCACAATAATCCAGCTACTCATTAGTTTGATCAAAACAACAGGGTCCGTCACCCTTTTATTCTCAAAAATTATCCCATTTCTACATTTCCATATAGCCCATAATAAAGCACAGATCCCAACCATAACTAGCTTTTTATCATTTTTCTTAAACCTATCTAACCATCCCCCCAAGCATTCCCGAATTTATGAAGGAATTGTCCTCAAACCTACAGAACATTTCGCCAAACTCCAAATCAGAGAAGCCACCGAGCAAGTGAAGAATAAATGGTCCACTGACTCATCTTTTCCACAAAATACACATTTTTTATCCCCTCGCCTCCCTCTTTTGAGTAGTGAGTCTCTGGTCAATATCCTCTTCCTATTTACCAGCCACAGAAAAATCTTTATTTTAGCTGGGACTTTAGTTTTCCACAAGACTTTCTGTGGGAATCTAAGGCCAGGGTATATAGTGATTTGACAGAGAATTTGTGGTCAGCAGTGAGTGTCCAGATTATTTCATCCTTTCCTTCTCTCATTTCAACCTCTTCACATCTACTTTATAGACTATTCCATAAACCTAGAGTTTCACCATACAAAGTCCTTCTAAATCTGAACCCATGCCAACCCCTCAGTTGGGCCTCGGCCACTGTTATGTTCTGATCAAAATAAGTAGCATATAGTCTGGGGTAGGCTTCTTTAGGTGGTTTCTCATCCACCCATATATCTTCTACGAACCTAGTGTTTTCCCCATTTCCCAGTTTCCTTTTCACAATTCTGTAGAAAACCTCTTTCACCTCCATCAGACTAGCCCAGAACTGAGAATCTCCAGTTTTCCTAGTAGCCCTAGATAGGCATCCATTTCCCCCATATTTCCTAAACATCACATCTTTCCATAGCCCCTCCTCTATCTCCATTTTTCAAAACCATTTAGCTAGCAATGAAATGTTCATTAACTCCAAATTTCAAATTCCTAGGCCTCCCACCTCCTTGGGTAAGCAACATGTCTTCCAGTTTACTAAATGCCATTTCTTAACATTTTCATCTTCTTGCCATACCAATCTAGGTCTGAAAAAATCAGCTTTCTTAATTACCCCTTTGGGGATAGCATAAAATGACATCGCTGGACCAAAAGCTCGTAGCTCGCGAGCTTAATGAATGCTCGATAGTTCGGCTCATTAAGCTCGTAGCTCGCTTCTTAATGAACAGAGCCAATCATTGATTTCAGCTCGTTAAGCTTAACGAGTTTATCGAGCGAGCTAACGAGTTTCACGAGTAGCTCATTAAGCTCGTTAGTAACAACACAACACATATTTTCATCTTACGTGACAAA